GAAATATTAGGGGTCTAAACAGACCCCTGATATTTCCCTTTTAAAATAGAAAAAGAGATTGAGGACAAAGTCCTCAATCTCTTTTTCCGCTGCCCCTGTTATAAATAAACAGGAATCCTCTGAGTGTTCCTGTTCATTCATAACTTGTGTAGATAGTATGTTAGATAGTCATTAGCATGTATGATAGTACTATGTCCACAATCGTAAATGAACAGAAGGGGAAGTAGAGCTCTTCATGTTCATTCATAATTGGGGACACAGTAAACATACTATGTCCTCAATTATTTACAAGCAGTCAGCGATCAGCTGATCGCTGACTGCTTGTAACCGATCTCCATCCTGACTCGCTTTCACAGGAGGCAGAGCTGGCAGTGTGGGAGCAAAGCTCTTACAGAGGCTGCAGCACTGGACCAGAGTGAAGTTAGGAGACGCATGCCACCATGCCACTCTTAATGATCAGGTACTATAGATATACTTGTTTTTTGGTTGTGCAATGCAGCTTTTTGTGGTACCGCACTGCATCACCTGTGTCCAATTAGATGAGATGAGATTCAGAACGTAGTAAAGCTGAACCAGAAAGCAGTTGAGTTCTCTTTCTGGCTGTGTAGTGCAGAAGACGCATCTAAATTTGGCTGAACTAAGTTACAAATCCAGTACCTGAATTTATATAGGAGCCTCCTGTAATCCCCTGCAAAACCGTACTTGATTTTGGAAAGGGAGGGTCAGAGCTGATAGGGCTCTGGTGCAGTGTGTGTGCTTACAGTGAACATACTGAGAACAGAAAAAAGCATAGTGAGCAGAATCTTTATTCATTGTCCATATATCCATTTCAACTATGTATTCATCAGCTTGCCTGGAATTCTGTTTTATGTAGCTTAGTAATATGTTTTTGTTTTGTTTTTTATAATTCTGTAATACAGGGTCGTTGTCTTGGAAAGCAGACCAACCGACAACCCCACAGCCAATAGCAACCTGTATATTCTAGCGGGACATGAGAACAGCTACTGAATACCACAATACGAAGGAATCTATTGTAATAAACGTGATTTCTCAAGGAAGTGGAGCCATGAAGAATGGTTGATGGATAATTGTGGGAAAGCCTTAAAAGACTCTCCTAAATTAGAAGCCACTGATCAATGTACCACTTGGCTCACTTCACCGATGTGGTTGCAGAAAGTGGAATTATAGGAAAAGTTACATTGCAGGGTTATAAATGGTCTGTTTATAAGTCTCTAATCAGAACAAGACTGTAGCCACATGTGGATTTATATAGATGTTATAAATACAAGTAATTTATTGTGGCATGAGTTAATGACGAAGAATATATTGTCTACATTGTGTCATTGACACGTTTCTTCTTAAACTCTTCCCACACGCGTGCTGCATTTACAGTTTAATCTTTGTACATACAGAGGTAGTATTAATTCTTCACTTGCTGTAGCTTCCTGTTGCTGACATCCTACCTAAAACCTTTTTGTAGATAGTGAACCTTTTTTAACGTACAAGTGTCTTAACTGTACAGTTGTAAAGTCAGTCCAGCTCAATAGCTGGGGACAGCCAGGCTGGTATGGTAAGACCCACTTACCTGTTGTTCCCCTGGCATCTTGTCTAGCTATCAGAGTGGACCTCTGAAGAAAAAAAAAAACACAAAAATGTATTAATACTATTCTATTTTTTATTCTGTGTAATTTAGTATTGCCAGTATACATTTTTGTAAGTTAAAAGAAATACTATAATCTATAGAAGTGATGTAAGCATTTTTTATGATACCCTTAACTTTAATGCAAGTACACTGGTGTTACATTTGCACAAAGTATTGTCATGTGTCACATTGCACCAGAGGGTTACATGGCGACTTCTGTGAAATGTTTAGGCTTAATGCCACTAATATTTTTGTTTGCTTGGTCCTGTTATTTTAGAAAAGGTGGGGAAAGCAATCCACACACATTATATATAGGTGTAAAAATACAAATCTTGTTTACCTGAATATAAGTCCTTTTTTTGTAATTTTTATCTGCACTTGCCCTTCATTCTTTCAGATTGTCTTTCTAGAGATGAATACAGGTGAAACTCGAATAATTAGAATATCGTGCAAAGTTCATTTATTTCACTAATGCAACTTAAAAGGTGAAACTAATATATGAGATAGACTCATTACATGCAAAGCAAGATAGTTCAAGCCGTGATTTGTCATCATTGTGATGATTATGGCTTACAGCTCATGAAAACCCCAAATCCACAACCTCAAAAAAGTAGATTATTACATGCAATCAATAAAACAAGGATTGTACATAGAACAATATCAGACCTCTGAAAAGTACAAGCATGCATATGTACTCAGTACTTGGTTTGGGCCCCTTTTGCAGCACTTACTGCAATTACTTTTGCATGATATTCTAATTATTCGAGTTTCACCTGTAGTGTCTGTTATTTGCACAGGAAAGTTTATTATCATGTAGAGGGAGCTAAGAACAAAATGCATGTTGCTGCTATCTGTACAAGCACCTAAACGTACATTTGCTGTAAATAGTGGAAAACTACTTCAAAGCTTCAAGAGTAATAATTATGGATTCATCAAGTTCAGCCATTTTAAAATTTACTTAAACAGCCCCACAAATCTAATGTATAGGGTGGTTTATATAAAACAGATGATAACATCTTAAAACATGTATAAAAGGGACAAGACACCCTTCTTTATCCTAAAATGGCCGTCAACATTAAAAAATAGCCCACCCCTATTTATGGCACATATAAATACATTCCAGATTTCTCAAGATATGTGCATATAATGAAAGTTTGTCATGCATGTTCGTTATTGGTATTAGTAATTCTTAGGCTGGCCATACACATCAATTTTTTTGTTCAACCCACGGGCACCTGTCAGTATACCTGATCAGAGCGGGCAGCTCATTGGCTGCCGACTCTGATCGATCGAAAATTTTCCAGCTGGCTCCTTTGATCAGCTGATCGAGGAATGCCGGCTGAAAGGGAGCCGACAGAGCCCCACACACTGTGCAAATTCCGTCCGGTACATTAAAAACCGGCTGAAGTTAGACCAGTGTATGGGCACCTTAACTCTTGCCCTTTAATATTGAAATCTGAAAATTAGTTCTTGAATTGCTAGCTGATGGTGTCACATTATATTATTAACCCCTTTATTACCTGAGATCTTTGATGAGTAACTGCCTAGAACAAATTTGGCAGCATCAGTTAATTGACAATAATGCTGACTAGTTAGCGTACCTAATATTTTTTTACATTGTTTTTTTAAATACATATAAGGCTTTTATTCTGCATACTGTTTTAGTAGATACCCTACTTATTTGGGGTTTTTTTATTACAGGCTGACATTGGGACTAAAATTTGATTTTTTTTTTATTTTTATTTTTTTCGTTTTTTTAATTTAATTGACACTAAACAGAATTTCTAGAGGTGGGAGAACTTAGTGTACTCTCAATCGCACCATGTCATAGGTGTCATGATATTGAGATTATTGGGAACCTCACTGATTGGTTCCTGAACATTAGGGGACTGAAACTGTTAGTGACAGCCCAATGAAACCTATGTGGCATGTTGAATAACATTTTCTCAGCATGGAGATCTGTACCTGGAAACAATCTACAGACTGAGGTGCCTATTGGTCAAGTATGACACCAACAGCTGGCAAGTTAAAATCCTAGGCATAGTGCTTAATATTTTACTACAACGTTTGCTCTATATATCTTTACAATTCTATTAATAGAAAGATAGTATTGGTGTATGTATATATAATCAGCCTCAGGCTTCTGCAGAACTGAAGCATATACAAACGTGGACAGATGTATTGGTACCTCTCCGTGGAAAAGGAAGAACCCACAATTTTCTGTCAAAAAATAGTAGCTGTAAAGCACTCCCTGAATTACTTTTTCCCAGAAAAGTAATTAGCATTCATCATTGTTCTATATTTAACAAACAATCAGACTTTGTTTTTGATTTCTGATTCATCATCATATTTAAAATAAAAAAATGGCATGAACAAAAATGATGGGATCCTTAACACAATATTTTGTTGCACGACGTTTAGAGGCAGTCTGTAAACAAGCAAATTCTACAGCTCTCCTTGAGCAAACTGCTTTAGCTGTTATAGGTATGAAGCGTGCCTTCCAGATTGCATGTTTCAGCTCTTTCTGTAGATGTTCAATAGGATGCAGATCAGGGATCATAGAAGGCCATAACCTCTGTGTTTCACAGTAGGTATGGTACTCTTTTTTTTCTTTGAAACTTCATTTTTTTCATTTGTGAACATAGACCTGACGTGGGGAAAAGCTCCAGGCATGTCTGATCTGTTCAAAGGAAATTCTCTTAGAAGCTTTGTGGCTTGTCATTATGCATTATATCAAATTCCAGTCTGATTTTTTTATCAGTCTTATTTTGAGCCCATTGTCGAAGTTCTCTTGTATCTTTTTGGAAGTTTTCCTTAGCTCTTTATTTACCATTCACACTACCATTTTGTTCAATCTGGGTTTGATTTCCCTCTTGCAGCCACAAGGGAGGTTAGCTGCACTCCTATGCACTTTAATATTATTTGCCACTGTAGTCACTGGAGCATTAAGTCGGTCAGAGATGGTCCTATAGCCTTTATCTGTGACATGCTGGTCTATAATTTCATATCGCCTCAGACAACTCTCTCCAGGTCCATGTTCAGTGTGGTGCACACAAAAATACCAAAACAGTGACAACGTTTCTCCATTTAAATAGGCTAACTGGCTGATTACAAGATTGGAGACATGTGTGATACTACTTACAGAAACATTTGGAAATATCACTATGATCCAGTTAGTTATCATTTCTTCTAAGGGTGCCAACAATTTTGTCCGGGCCATTTTAGAATATATTTGTACAATAAACAATAATTTATCTTTTCACACTTTTTTTGGCATACTAAAGACATGCACAAGACAATTTATTTTAATTGTATCACTTTTCAGGAGAAATAAAGCATTGTTTCAATGTTTTGTACTGGTACCAACAAATTTGTCCATGTGTTGTAAAAATTTCCATGTATGTATAAACAGAGTTACATAAAGCTAGATCGTATGCCTGTCTCCTTTTTTTTTTTATTTAAAGAAAGCAATTGTTTGGCCTAAACTAAGCTAATTATGTATGTACCCAGTATACAAAAGCACAAGATAGGACTAGACAAAATTGCTTTCTGGCTTCTCAGATATGTTTTTTTTAAATTGACATTAAGAGAACAGTGCAAGAATACCAAGTCAGTGTGATCAGCATGGAGAGGGGTGGGTCATAGTGCAGGAATGGGTATTAAAATGCTAGCAAAAAGTGCATTCTGAATCAACTGATAAGTCAAATATTGGTCAGGCCAACACAATTGCTACATTCACAGTGTAATAATGTCAAGCTGGGTAAATACCCAACATTTCAACAACAGACAGAACATTTCTAACATTCCAGTTTTTGGAAATTGATTGTTTTGATGCTTCATCTTTTGTGTTGTTTCTTTTCTGCCTTATGTACATCATTGTAAATGCTTGTGAACGTGTGGCCAAATTAATGAGTCACTACCTCATGCAAATAGACTAAAGAAGACTACACATCAAAACAGCTGAGCATTTGTTTTGCTTTTTTTTATTTTGTTTAATGTTATGCCATTATTGAGCCTATGGACACCAGCTGTGAAGACTAAGATAATCTGAGTCCTTTTGATGGAAGTTTATAGGTTTTCATTCTATCTTGATGTAAATGCACCTTAATGAATTGGGCAGTTGTAAAGGGCCTGAATTATTCATGTATATGTTGAGATGAATAAGTCACTAGGAATACTGTAAAAACATTGGTTCTGTTCATGAATCCCAACATTTGAAATTACATTAAGTCACTATAGAGCAGGGCTCAAAATTTCAAGTCCTGAGCTACTAGCCTTCCACTGTTAGCACAGCTGTATTTCCTTTTATACAGACAGGCTGTCATTGAAGCCTTGAACTGTGCTGTTGGGATTGGTCATTGCAAAATGTCTATTACTCCGTTGTTAAGATTAGGTTCACATGTAAAAAGAGTCTAAAATG